CAGCCCTGGCATGTGAGGATGCTCAGCCAATGACTTGACATCCTTATAAACAGAGGGAGGTTTGGACACAGCCACATCCTGAGGGAAGACTTTACAACGACAGTAGAGATTAATGTGACACTGCCATGTATTGGGGGACCCCACAGACTTCTAGGAGACCCCTTGGAGCTAAAACATACTGTAAGGATCCTCTTAATGAAACCTCCTCAGGGAGCAGGCCCTGTAACGGCGGACCTCAGTCCTGAACTTCAGAAGCCTCTGAATAGAGAGTTCTTTTCTGCTGACCTGAGACCCCATTGCTGTGGTCATCTGTTCCCACAGTGTAGGACACAAAGAGAAAAGATGAGCGCCCCGCACCGTGTGAGAAGGGTAAAGCCCAGCCCTATCAGGCTCTTTGTAAAGCAGGTGGCATCTTAGTCACCCTCTGCCCTGAGGCAGAGTTTGCCCAGCTCACAGGTCTGAGCAGTGCAGTGGGAGTCAGAACAGAGCCAAAGATGCTCAGGCCCTGGAAGCCTGCTGGTGCGGACAGTAGCCTGTCTGCAGGCAGTAGCTGGGTGGTACACACAATATCCTGCCTGGCTTCTCCTCAGCTGGCACACTCTACTCAGAACTCTGTCTCCCCTGCAAGCAGCGGCTTCATCAGATGGAGCTGTCTGTCTGTCTGTCTCTAGTGCATCCTTCCTCCTTAGCACTGCAGGGCTGGACATCCACTGGTGACAGGGGTCCCCGCATACTAACCTGGGGCTGCAGCCAGCTCCATCACAGGCTAGTCAGCCGTCAGCTGCTGCTCAGCACATCCCCCTTCTGCCTGCTCACTGGCACACCTGGCGCATTCCGGATTTTGTTGTTAAATCATTTTAAACAGAGAGAGACCCAAACAGAAAGCCTTGAATCTCAGTACCACAAATCTTCATCAGTTATTGCACAAGGCTTTGCGTTCAGCCTCGCCCGGCTGTTTGCCTCTGCTGCCTCCCCCTCCCCCACAGAACCCATCCCCTTGTTCCTAAAGGAAGCCCAAACCACCTTTATTTTCACTTTGTTAGCTGCCAGGTCTATAAAATGGCTGAATGCTGGACATCATTCGTCTCTTAGCTTCCCTGTCAGCTGGGAGCAAGGCCAGAGGGGTGATGTGTGCACGCATGCCCATGAGCGTCCATCCATGTGCACCCATGTCTATGTCTGATACCTACCTATAGGAACAGTCTCTTCTGCCCCTTAAGATTTGCAGTGTGTTGAAATAGGAGCGGCGGCGGGGTTGCGTCCCCAACACCCTGGCCGCTTGGCTAGCTCATGCCCGAAATAACAACACACAAACTGTATTCATTTAAGAACTGCTTGGCCCATAAACTCTAACCCTTACAGGCTAATTCTCGCACCTGGACTAGCCCATTTCTAATGATGTTTGTAAGCACCCCAAGGTGCGCTTACCGGGAAGATTCTAGCCTCCATCCATCGTTGGAGAGTGTAGCATGGCAAGCATGGCGTCTCTGCTCCAGAGCAGAGCTGTCGAGTCTCTCTGGGAGCAGAGCAGAGTCTGACCTCACTTCCTCTTCCGCCCAGAATTCTATTCTGTTTTCTCCTCCCATCTATGTTCTAACCTCAGGGCCAGCCAAGCAGTTTCTTTTATTGCTCAGCCAATGAAATCAACAGATTGATATGACACTCCCACATCAGCAGTGGGATTTTTGCTTCCTAAGTGATTGTGTGGGTGACCAATCTCATTCATTCATTCATTCATTCAGCTGATATTTATTGAGCACCTAGGAAGTCTTACCCATTAAAATCAGCCCTGAACTAGTGTTTGTCTGTCTTCTATCATCTATCTATCTATCTATCTATCTATCTATCTATCTATCTATCTATCTATCTATCTATCTACCTATCTATCTGAGTTCCAGTTCCAGAATGCAGAGGATGAGGCCTGGGAGAGAGACAGAGAGAGGGAGGAGAGAAGAGATGGAGGCAGAAGCAGCCAGGGGAGTGGTTGTTTGGAGCCACCCAGAAAAGCTTAGATGGAATTGTCATCTGGAGCCTTGAAGGATGAAGCTGAGTCTGGAACTGTGGGAGAGCATTTTCCGGGTAGGGAGGGGGGCTGCAGCTGCAGGGAGTGAGAGGAGCAGAGGTGGGAAGGTGAAGGAAGCAATCCTGCAGCCCTTGGTTAGCACTTGCTGCCCCTACAACAACATGTGGACACATGGGGATAGCACACAGCAGACAGGGCTCCTCCCAGCTCCCAGTCAGGAAGCCAGAGATCTGCATGGTCTGGGCCAGCAGGTTCTTTAGGGATAGGTCCGTCTCTGTCCTCCCCTGGGGAGAACAATGAGCAGGTCTCTGGGTTCCTTCTGCCAGGGCACCAGCCCATGGCCTCTAAGTGCCGCATTCAGGGCACCACAGTATCCCAGACCACCGATTATGAAAATATATAATAACCACAGGGTTCAGAGCTCAGAAAATAAAAAGAGCATCTGTGACCGATAAAGATGGTCCCAAGAGGAAAATGAACAAAGGCTTGCTTTCACAGAATGGAAAGCTATATGGCCAGTGAGCAAATAAAAAGCTTTCCAGCTAAAAAAATAAAAATTCAAAGAGGCAATGACATCCCCCTCTCCGGGGTAGTGCATGCCTTTAATCCCAGCAGTTGGGAGGCAGAAGCCAGCCTGGTCTACAGAGTGAGCTTCAGGGCAGCCAGGGCAACACAGAGAAACAAACTGTCTCAAAAACAAACAAACAAACAAACAAAACAAAACAAAACAAAAGGCTCTGACCTCATGGGCTGGCCACAAAATGTAATTAAGGGGTAAGGGTCGTTCTCCTTCATAAGGCATGATGGGAAGCCAGAGCACATGACCAAAGACTGGGAAGGGTAGCCAGAGCGCTGCACCCAACAAACTGGATGTTAATTTTTCTGAGCGGTGGCGGGCGGGTCAGAGAGCTCCGTTGTTATCTAAGAGCCTGGTGCTGCTGGGAGAGCAGTCAGCACTGTTAGCTGGGTGCCTGAGAGGGTGTGTGCTGAGAAGGAAACCGCTCAGGCACTGAGGCAGGTTAGAAGTCACTAGAAGCACCCCCCCACCCCCAACTAAGTCTCCGGTCTCTGTTCTTCAGGCTAGGCGAGTGGCTCTGAGGTCTCAGGGATCTCCTAAGTCCTAATGTCCCTCCAAGTACAGGTGGTCCTGTGCCCAGGCTGATGCCCGGGTCCACCAGCCTTTTGAATTATCCCCACCACAGCAGAGTCTTGGCCAGTCTACTTCCCAGCCGGCCACTTACTCAGATGTGGGTCCCTTCCCCTACTCCATTCTTTCCCAGCAGCTGACACCAGGGATCACTGATGCTGATCAGAAAAGAGGGCTCAGGAGTCTTCTAGTGCAGGAATCCCAGGGCTCAGAATGCAGGATCCCAGTGGATTGTAAAGGGGGAGGCGGGGGAGCCCTTGATGTTGAGATGGGAAGGCCAGATGGAAATCGTCATTGGAGGGTCTTTTTCCAGCCAGAGTGGCAGGTGACTTGTAGGGTGACAGAGGGCAGAGGCACAACACCAGGGCACCTCTGAGGTTTGGCTGTATTCTGACAGTAGGTTAAGGTGACAAAACCTGAAAGAGGTGTAGAAGTAAACACAGGGCTGAGGGGGTCAAAACGGGACAGAAACAGCTGGTGTGGTGGTGAGCCAGAGAGGCTGGGGTGAGAGTCCCCTCTGTATGCTGTGAATACCACTGGTTAATAAAGAAACTGTTTTGGGCCTGTGATAGGGTGGAGTAGAGACTAAAGGGGGAACTAAACTGAATGCTGGGAGAAAGGAGGCAGAGTTGGATAAGCCATGTATCATGTAGCCCTGCTGGAGACAGACAAGGGAACTTTACTAGGTAAGCCACGGCCTCGTGGCGAGACACAGATTAATGGAGATGGGTTAAATTAAGATGTAAAAGTTAGCCTCTAAGAAGCTAGAGCTAGGGGGCTGGAGAGATGGCTCAGAGGTTAAGAGCATTGCCTGCTCTTCCAAAGGTCCTGGGTTCAATTCCCAGCAACCACATGCTCACAACCATCTGTAATGGGGTCTGGTGCCCTCTTCTGGCCTGAAGGCATACACACAGACAGAAGATTGTAACATAATAAATAAATATTAAAAAAAAAAGAAGCTAGAGCTAATGGGCTAAGCAGTGATTTAATTAATACAGTTTCTATGTTATTATTTAGGGAGTCTGGGTGGCCGGGAAACAAACAAGTGGCCTCCTACTACAGGGGGCTGTAAATTCAAAGGTCAGCCTGGGCTACATAGAAAGTTTGAGGGGAGGAAGACACACACACACACACACACACAGAGTCACTGCCCCAAATGAATTATTCAAAGATGGGGAGCAATATTCAAGAATTCACACAGAGGAGTTGCTGCTCCGATGAAACCTAATCCAGGATGGAACGCAACAGTGGATTACCTCCTCACAGAGTGGTTCTCCAAGGGGTCCTCTGTCCCTCCAGGGGAGCAGCCCCAGGGAGATGGTCAGCAGCATCTCTGTGTTTCTTGTAAACTGAGAATCTTGGAGGCCAGCCTGGTATTTAGAGCGAGTTCCATGACAGCCAGGACTATACAAAAAGAAACCCTGTCTCAGAAAACCAAATCAAACCAAAAACGAATTAAAACACTGATAGTAAATCGAGAATTCAGAGTCTAGGTGCACAAGAGGATACACAGGGTGTTGTGGGGCAGTTACCATGACACCTGGGATATACACATTGCCTGTCCTCCAAAATGAAGGACAGGGCATCTCTTCTTTGGGGACAGAGTTCCTTAAACACACTGATGATTTGAATGGAAAATCCCAGTTCCCTGTCCCAGTGGTCAGGAGGGCATCTGCCTCCCACATCACCACTTATGCCTGGTCCCTCAGCCTGCCTCACTCACCAGCTCTGTACACATCACTGATGACTTCCCTCTGCCATGCGCATGTCCCCAAGTGTTTCCCCACCCCGCTCTGTTCATAAACACAGGACACATGCACGCCCCTGCACTCGGGCACCATTCTCATGTTTAATGTGGAATTTACATGGACCCTTGGGTCACATTACTGCTCAACCATTTGAAGATACATCCCAGGGAAAACCAGAGTCCTTGGAAGCCCGAGTGCAAAACCCAAAGAAAAAGTACAGACCCATTTCAGTATAAGAATATATTATTTAAAAGACAGTTTAAAAATAAAAATTCTGTACAGCATCATGAATTCCTTTTTTTATATCAGTGAACAAAACGGTTCTTAGAAAACATGGTCTGTCGCAGGTCATCCGGGGTCGCCTGGGTGTGACCGTCCTTGCGTGGAGGATCCTGTGAGGTTCCCCATCCCTGTCCACTCAGAGGCCATGGTTCGGTTGCTTTAACTAGTCCAGTCTGCTGGAAAAAGAGGAAGATGGCATGTTGTCTCTGCGGGCACTGGAGATGGCACAGTCAGATCCCAGTGGGAAGTTGAGATGGTAACAGGATGCATGGGACCAGAAAGCAGAAAGACCTGGGCTGGGGAGTGGTGGAGCCAGCACTGCTCTCGCAGAGGATCCCAAGTTCGAATTCCAGGATCCACAACCGCCTGTAACTCCAGCTCCAGTATATCCAGCGCCCTCTTCTGTTCTCTACGGCACCTGCACTCAAGTGCACATACCCACACATATGTACATACCCACACATATATATACACAATTAAAAATTTAAAACAAAACTTCTTATGTTAAAGCAGAAGTAGGGCTGGAGAGGTAATTCAGTGATTAAGAGCACCGGCTGCTCTTCCAGAGGACCCAGGTTCAATTTCCAGTATCTACATGGTGGTTCACAGCTGTTTATCACTCTAGTTCCAAGTGATCCGATGCCCTCTTCTGGCCGCCACAGGCACCAGATATGCCAGTGTTGCATAGACATACAAGTAGGTAAACACACACACACACACACACTCACATACACTCTCACTCACAGTCATACACACATACACTCTCACACACTCACAGTCTCACTCACACACACACACACAGTCAAAGGCGGTACAAACTGGGGAATGAAAGGGACCAAGCCTGACAGGACCAGTGGATGCGGGGAAGGGCAGGAATGGATGAGAAGGGATAATAACAGATATGCGCGAAGACACCAGGATGAAAACCATTCATTTGTATACTGATATGAAAATTTAATAAATATAAAAGAATGAGGCTGGGTGGTGGTGGTGCATGCCTTTCATCCCAGCACTCGGGAGGCAGAGATGGGCAGATCTCTGTGAGTTCAAGGCCAGCCTGGTCTACAAGAGTTCCAGGACAGGCTCCAAAGCTACAGAGAAACCCTGTCTTGAAAAACAAAAAGCAATAAATAAATAAATAAATAAATAAATAAATAAATAAATAAATAAATAAAAGAATGAGGTTGGGGCCGTAGAGAAGGCTCACTGCTGCTCTTAGGAACACTGACTGCTCTTACAGAGGACACGAGTTTGCTCTCCGGTACCCACATAGAGGCTCACAACCATCTGTAAGTCCAGTTCCAGAGCATCTGACATCCTCTTCTGGCTTCCATGGACTCCAGCACACATGTGATCCACATACTCATGCAGGAAAACACACATACACACAAATAAAATAAATCAGAGAGAGAGAGAGAGAGAGAGAGAGAGAGAGAGAGAGAGAGAGAGAATATGAGGTTGTCAGCCACACAACACATGGAGCCCAAATTAGACAATGTCAATGCCATTTTCTTCTCAAGAATATGACCTGGCTCCAAGGTTCACTGGACGCCTCCGTATGCAACAGCAATTCACACAACTGCTTAGATCCCAGCAATGACACTGTGGCTTTGGGCTTACAAACGAGAGGCCTGGGGTTCACAAACGAGAGGCCTGGGGTTCACAGAGGTGGAGACACAAAGGTTTCACTGAAGGCAGGCCTTGTGCGGGCGTCTTTTGTTTCCCCTCAAACTCAGCTTCTCCAGCTCCGTGCATAAACCCTCAGCTCACGTGACAGCCATGTGCTTAGTTAGAAGTTAGCCTGCACCCAAGCCTGTGCTGTAGCCTGCGCTGGCTGAGTGGCTGTGCGGAGCAAAGGGCTGTGTCAGCGGGCGTCAGAGGACACGCTTGTAGTGATGGGCGGGGGTAGGGTAGGGGCAAATGCTTTTTAAAAGCTCCTAGCACTCCAGATGCACTTCACAGAATATCTCATCTCATGAGTGGCGCACATTCTAATAATTAATCCTCTCTATAATCCAAGTGTGAACCTTTCCAAATCAGAGCCCAGATTCTAATTAGGATATACAGGATTAAGCTGCGCGTATTGGGAAGCCGTGGTTTGACGCTGCCTCCTGTAAGTGTAACAGGCAAATGAGGGCTTGTAAGCGGCTGGGTGTTCGAGCGCTGGGGTGCAATCCCCACTGTGAGGGGAAAGGTGAAAACACCTGTCTGTGCTCTTTGGGGGAGGCTGTGGGAGGCAATCAGGATAGACAAAGGCATCAGGGTGGCTATCCCGTGACTGAGTTTCTGGTGCTTTATAAGAGGGCGGGAGATCAAACACATACACACACAAACATTCTCTCTCTCTCTCTCTCTCTCTCTCTCTCTCTCTCTCTTACACACACACACACACATACACACACACTCTCTCTCACACACACATACACACACTCTATCTCTCTTTTTCTCTCTCACACACACTCTCTCACACACACATACACACTCTTTTTTCTCTCTCTCTCACACACACATATACTCTCTTTTTCTCTCTCTTTCACACCACACACTCTCTCACACACATACACACACTCTCTCACACACATACACACACTCTCTCACACACATACACACACGCTCTCTCTCTCTCTCTCTCTCTCTCTCTCTCTCACACACACACACACTCTCACGTGCACTCTGCCCCTCCCCATGTATAACACTTCAGAGCCCACCCACTTACACATTGAGCCGTCAGTTTGGAGGAGAATGTCCTGCACTGTTTTTCTTATCTCTGTTCTTCTCTGTGGCGTTTTCTGTGCCCCCAGTTGTCAAGTTGTCTGTCTTCTTCTGTAACTAAGGAAGCAAGGGCCAGAGTCAGACCTGGAGGCAGAGGGCCATTGCATGCAGCCTCTTGTCTCAGGAGGTGTCTGCTGCCGGAAGACACTCAGATGCCTGCCCACACATACATAAGATTTCCAGATTTTTCAGAGACAGCCTGGGTGCTTGTGACTTGTTCACAACCCAAGAAAGCATCCTGGCCAGGAATGGACCAAGCCGGCCACAGCTCACAGCCGAGGGGGCTGGGCTCCTGTTTCAGGCTCAGCGCGGTCACTTCTTTCTCATGCCCCCTTCTCTAGGGCCAGGATGGCATCTTGGAGAGCCTGGCATTCCCATTAGGCAGGGAAACATAGGATTCCAGACTCAGGTTCCCAAGAGCATTGGCTGATGGGATGGCCATGGTGGCAGAGGTCCCTGCAGCCTTCTAAGCAGAGTCTGGACAGGGAACCACACCTGGGCATAAAGGCAGAAAAGATGGATACAAGAGCCCTCCGTTTACTGGGGAGCTTGGATGGATGGGTACAGAGTAGGAAATGAGGGCCCGAGGGGCATCGGAGGTTGGGTGGTGAGGGCACAGTGGCCAAGGAGAGGTCTGGAGGGTATACGGAGTGATGAAACTTTTTTTGGGTACATGAGTGTCTTGGTAGGAGCAGGGGGTACTGTGGGCTGAGAAAGACTGTACCCAGCAGGCACATCAGGCAGGCGACAAGGATTGAGTCCCTAATACCGGCATCTCTGGAAAAAGAGAGGTTCACACAGGGGCTCCAACAAAGCTGAACTTCCCATGGGGATCCGTGTCAAGATTGTCGAGGCTCCTACCCTCTCCTGAGATCCAGCATCCCCAGCACCCTAAAACCTCTCCACCTCCTGGACTGTAAGAGTAGAGCCCTGTGTGCTCTGTGTCTCAAAGCAGGGACTTGGGTCCTTGCTTTGGTCTCATGTCTTTTTCAGTGCAGCCCTCACTGAACAGGCACCCAAGCCTGGAGGAGCATAGGGGCCAGGGAGGTGCTCAGACACACGGCAGAGGTGGTGATGCATGGTGCCTCTCCAGACTCACACAGCTGCATGTTGGTTCTCATCAGCCCACCACAGTCCCTGGGAAGAGACTCTGCTGCCCAGAGTGCAGCATCTGGACCCCTCGTCTCATTGAACTTGGCTCTTGTGCCTGCCCTTTGTCCTGCCTGGCCGCCAGTCTCTGACTCGCCTGCCTGTGTCCTCTGCGCTACCTTTACCTCCTTCATGGCGTCATCCAGCTGCTTCAGCTCCTCATAGTGTTCGCGAGACTCCCAGAGTGGCCGTAGCATGGTCTCCTCGACAATGGGGAAGAGCTGGGGAGCAGAGAGTCCGGGGTCAGTCCACCATTATTAGATGGCAGAGAACATTGGAGGAGAATTGTCAGGCCCTTGGGGTACCTGTGAGTCCCAGGGATCTCACTTCCCAGTGGCCTCAAATCAAGGCTTTCAGAGAAACCCAAGGAAATGGAGTGTAAATCTCCTGGCCAGTTTCAAGTCCTGGAGACCCTGGTGCAGCCCCACCCCCATTTCTGTCTCTGGCACAGATTTCCACTCTTGTCACTCCTCAGAGGACCCCAGAAAGCCTACTAACCTCTCCTGTCCCCATCCTTCCAGTAAGACAAGGGTAGGGATGGCTTCAGAGGGTCTTAGGCAGGGGACAGATCTGATGAAATCCCTGGTGGTGGTCACAGAATGAAAAGGATATGGGTGGCTCCGAGCTACCCAGAGAACGATGGGCAGGAGGTGGGGTGGAGCAAATGGGTTGGCTGGAGAGGAATGTGTGTTTGGGACTCAGGGCTGGAAGTGGTGGCCTTAGGCAGCGCTGGGGTGTGGGAGGTGGAGGAACAGAGTTGGAGAAGACTAGGACTTGGTTGTGAGGGTTCCCCAGCTCAAGGGCGCCAATTCCAGGTGCTCCTTTAAGGAGAAGTCTGGAAGAACAGGAAAGCCAATAGCTGGTACAGCTGGCTGGGTCTTAAGGCTGGCAGAGACAGGCAGGGACAAAGTGGGCACAGAGGGCCTGGCAGTCACACATGGAGCTCTTTGAAGAGCACCAGAGGGAGTGGCACTGGACACAGCAGAAGGAATGGCTGCTAAGCAACTATCGCCATGACAGCAGATGAAGCTGTAGGGGGTTTATGTGTATGCACATGTATACACAATGCATATCCCCAAAATGTGCATGCATGCATGAGTGCACATGTGTGCTCACTGCTGCCGTACCAATAGCACAATCTCTCACCTTGGCCACTGATTCAAACATTGGGATCAGGACAAACTTGATGAACCCAATTTGGGCTGTTGCTTTGGTCACTTTGTCCCTGTCCATGAATGGGGCCACAGGAAGGCCTTCTGACTTCTCACGGTCGCTCTGCAGGGAACACAGGGACAATGGCATTAAAGGCACAAAGGCCTGTGGACTCGGGTACACAGAGCAGCCCTGTTCTTAGAGGAAGAACAGGACATGCTTCCCAGCTGGGCTCCTCATGGTCACACAGAAAGGCAGTACAATGGCGAGGACACAGAGGGCCTGTGGTGAATGGCTACACATGAGCCAAGGCGAGGCGAGCATGCTGGCGTCATAGGGACCAAGTCTAGAGACAGGCTGAGTGTCTCAAGGCGTGACAGGGCAGTTTACAAGGCTCAACTTGACAGCTACTGTCCGCATTATTTTATGCCCGTATCTCCCGGTAGCTATCCTATGAACCATCTTGCTTGCCCTTGCCCCTCCACAGGGCCCCCCTCCCCTTCTTGACCCATGGCCACTTTTCTTTTTTTTTTTTTTAATTTATTTATTTATTATGTATACAATATTCTGTCTGTGTGTATGCCTGCAGGCCAGAAGAGGGCACCAGACCTCATTATAGATGGTTGTGAGCCACCATGTGGTTGCTGGGAATTGAACTCAGTACCTTTGGAAGAGCAGGCAATGCTCTTACCCTCTGAGCCATCTCTCCAGCCCCATGGCCACTTTTCTTGAGTCTACCTCTAACAGTGGCTCTGTGAGTGGCAATGGGTGGCAGTTTCACCACACTGTTTGTCCCCCCTGGTGGTCATTGTCTCACATCTATGACACAGCCTATGTTGTTTCTGCTGTATGTGGAGACACATATGTGTATTGTGGAGGCTGCTGGGGTGTGGATGGATGTGTCAATCACCCTGGTCTGCTCTTTCCAATGCAGCCCCGCCCACGGAGCTGGAAGGAGTGCTCACGATTTGATGGCTCTGTGTCTCTTACCTGCATGAAGTATTCTTCCAGTAAACAATCCACCCATGGCTCTGCCACCTCCATGGGACGGACTTCATTGGAGATATCGCAGCATTTTATGAGAATCATCTTCAGCTGAAAGAGACGCGACATTGAGGACCACGGCAGACACAGCACCACCGCTACTGCTGTGGGCTGACTGGATTTGCCATCACAGGTGGAGAAACAGGGTGGGACGGGGGTGGGGAGGGATGCTGGCCCTGGAAGGGTACCTGCAGCACTCTGCACTGGGATCCTGGTAGTCTGGATTTTTCAGCTTCCCTGAGGAAGGATGGGGACCCATCATACCCACAGAGCATCCAATACTCAAGCTTTTAGGATGTAAACTGCCAGGTTAAAAACCGAGTGTGCACTTAGGCTCTTCCATGCTGAAACGGGCTCACTCTGCAGCTCAGGCTGGCTTTGAACTCCTGTTCTTCCTGCCTCCCAGCTGCTAGGATTACAGATGCCACCATGCCTGGTTCTCAAAACAAAGTCATGGCAAGGCCAAGACAAGAAGATGCAAATTCAAGGACTGCGTAGGCCACACTGAGTGCAAGGCCCTGCTGGACAACGTAATGAGACTCTTGTCTCCAACTGCCAAGAAAAATCAAGGCTGGGGACGTGGCTGAGGGGTCTACGGTATTTGCCGATCATATATTAAGTCCATTGCCTTGATAAGTAAAAAAATTGTGACTGTATGAAATATAAGAAAAATATATAGAGCCAGGCGGTGGTGGCGCACGCCTTTAATCCCAGCACTCGGGAGGCAGAGGCAGGTGGATCTCCTTGAGTTCGAGGACAGCTTGGTCTACAAGAGCTAGTTCCAGGATAGGCACCAAAGCTACACAGAGAAACCCTGTCTCGAAAATAAAGAGAGAGAGAGAGAGAGAGAGAGAGAGAGAGAGAGAAAGAGAGAGAAAGAGAGAGACACTACAGTGCATGTCTCCAAAGTGAAGCACAGAGCAATTAACTTAATCTCTGAATGCTGGGATGCTAATTGTTAATTATTTTGCTAATGCATTTTGCTCATTTTGAAGTTAATTTAATTTTGAGATAGGGTCTTACACTATAGCACAGGCTAGCTCAGAATCCAGTATAGGTAGCCCAGGTGGGTCTGAAGTGGCTGCAATCCTCCTGCCTCAGCCTCCCCAGTGTTGTGAGTACAGGGATGGACCAGCATGCTGGGTTTGCATTTTGATTTTTAGAAGGGACAGACACCACGTACACTTAGGCTACCTCCTCACCTTAAGGGAGGGGGTTGTCCCTGACCCATGGAGTACTCTTCAGGGCAGCCTTGTCTACTGCTGCCCAGGAGGAGCTGGGATACTGAAATTCAATCACTCCAGCACTCCATGGCCAGGGGAGACACCTAGGTTCCTGGTTTTCCCAACTGAGCTATGGCTCAGCTTTCCAAAGACACAAGAGACACAACCTACCAGCGTCAGGTGTTCCTCATTGCTGTAGTCAAAATTCTCCATTTTTTCTTTGAAAGAATCCATAATTTCAGCATGCCTTGCCATGTCGGTGGCCAAGATCAATGTGATCATGCCCTGGATGGTAAGAGGACACGGTGTGACCACATGCCAGGACCTCAGTGAGTGCTCCTCACGCTGTGCTCTGAGCTCCTGTGTGACCATGGCCCACATGCGTGCTCGTCTGTCCCTGATCACAGCCTGACAGGGTAACAGATGGGTCCTCATGCTGACTTGTAAAGCCAAGCAGATTTTAAGTCTCCTAGACTTAGTCACCGAGGGCAGTATCAGCCCTGCTCAGAGCTTGCTGGCGGATATCAGCAGCAGATCCCAAGACAGTTTTCCCATTGTCTCATCTATATGAGACTGCATATAGATTATAAGTCAGAACATACTTGGTAACATCCCCACTATCCACTTCATAACTGAGGATCCAAAGGCTTTAAACTCTAGCTGTGCTATGATTTGAACATGGCTGATGCCCTCCTAAACACAGGTTGAAATCTGGTCCCTAGACTGACTGTGGTAAGAAGTGGATCCTTAAGAAGTGTTTGGGTTCCACCCTCATGAAGAATTTCATATTCTCCCCCAACTCATCCAGCACTGGGTTAAATCCACAAGGAGTGAATTCTCGCTCTTGCTCCTTAACCTTCTGCCCACATCCCTCACCAGAAACAGAGCAGATGTGGATGCCAAACTCTTAGACTTCTCAGCCTCAAGAACTATGAGTGATCATGAACCTCTTTCCTTTAAAACTACCCAGCCTGTGGTATTTTATTATAGCGGCTGAAACTAGACTAAGGCAGTTAACTAAATACTGGTTTAGGAAAACCAGTTTTAGTAGCATAAAAACCATAGCATCCAAAACTATAATCCATATAACCCACTCTTTCATTTCTCCTTCTGTCCATCTAGCTTTCCATGCATTTACAGAATTCTATTTGTCTATATGTCCACCCATCCTTCCATTCATCATCCACTCACCACCCACCCACCTACCCACCCTTCCTTCCATCCCTCATCCAACCATCTGCTACCCACCCTCTCACCCTTCCTTCCTTCCATCCCTCATCCAGCCATCTGCCACCCACCCTCTCACCCATCCTTCTTTCCATCCCTCATCCTTCCATCCCTCATCCAATCATCTGCCACCCACTCCCCGACTCATCCATCTGCACACCCCGCCCATCCATCCATCCATCCATCCATCCATCCATCCATCCATCCATCTTTTCATTCACCCACCCATTCACCTACCTACCCAGCCATCCATTATCCACCCACCCATCCCTCCATCCCATAAAACATTTATATAACATCTCTGCACCAGGTGTAGAGCATCACTTTTCCAAGAAAATAAGACCCCCAGCCTCAAAGGCCAATATGAAGCAAGCAGTCAATATGGAGAATCTCAAATGTATATTTCTTGCGTGTGGGGGAGGGGACACATCATCTTGCACTTTGAATTATGAACTTTTTCCTGTAAAGACTGCTATTAACAGAACATTCAGTTATCCCTCAAGATCTTCAGTGACAAACTGTTTTGTATGTGTGAGTGTGGGTGCACGGCACGCCATAATTAGTGCACGTGAAGGCCGTGCAGGCAGGGGGACAACCTTGGTTGTTGGTCCTTGCTTTCCACCCTGTTTGAGGCAGGGTCCCCTGGTGTTCACTGTAGTGGACAGCAGGCTAGCTGGCCTGTGAGCATCAGGTAATTCTGCCTCTGTCTCTCCTTTCCCCGTAGGTGTGCATTACAATTACAGACACTTCTGTGTCTAGCTTTGATGCGGGTTCTGGGGATCCGAGCTCAGGTTGTCTGGTTTACGTGGCAAGCGCTTTACCTACTGAGCCATCTCCTTATTACTTATAAAATATTTCAAAAATTTGAATAAATGATTTTTGTTTCCAGAAGAACTCTTATTTTGGAACTCTTAAACTTCTGGAATAGGACAATCCCTTGTTATCCCCAGGGTGGCCAGCAGGAAGAAAATCCTGTTTGCACGGATTTATTGTTTACTCATCCAATTAGATGACTCTTGTTTCTCTTGGGTACCGCTTGCTGGAGAAACTCACACACTAAGGGATGCTCCACCAGGCTCACTGGGTGGCACTGGCCTGTGTGCCCACCTCCCTTCCTAGCATGCCCTTTACCCACTGTAGAAAAGGGTTCGCCCTAACAGTCTATGGAACGCACGCAGAGGGTGGGGCTGCGAACATGAAAGGAAGGGCAGAAGCCTGCAGACAGAAGAGAGGGCTGCACCACGAATCAGCGATTCAGTGTTGACTGTTGTCAAGCACTCCAGTTAGCTTTGAACTTCTCAGAGAGCAGGAGAGGAAATAATAGTTTTTGGGGTGGCTGCTCTTTGAAAAAGCCAAGCTTCCAAGTTCTCCAGGAAGGAGGCAGATGAACCCCGCTCCATGTATAAATTTAGCTATGTGGGGAATGAGGCCAGCTGAGAGTCAAAGGGCACGATCCCCAGGGATGGCAACACATGACCCTCAGAGACCCTGGGGTTCTCCTGATGGGCGTAGTATGGGCGGCCTAGCTGAGCGCTGCTTTGGGGATATATAGCCCCAAATCTTCCTTAAGGAGGTATGATGAGACTTCCGCTTCCAAAGAAGGTTCTGGGGGTCAGTTACCAGCGACCACTGCGTTTCAGACAGGGTCACCCTGGGTCCTTCCACCCGCAAACCACAGCATTTCAGACAGGGGTCACCCTGGGTCCTTCCACCCCCTGTAAATGACACTAGTGGCTCAGTCAGTTGTGGTTCAGATGGGACCTTGTGCGTGGGGAGGGCAGTGTGTTAAGTGACTAAAAGTACTTGTCTCGGGGCAGGGGGTGACTAGGCTCTACGTGGTGGGTGATAGTTGTTCAAGCTCTATGGCGGATATTAGCTCTACCAGGCTGCAAGCAATGCAGGTGCCTTCCAGGCCCCACACTGCCTAGGGCCAGTTACTCCCCTTTCTTTGCTCAGTTTCTTCCCCGACTGCAGGAACACAGGAACCATCTCAAAGGGAGCCTTTAGGGTTATATTACTGACAACGAAATGCAGGTGACACCAGGTGTATATGGCAAAGGCCCATCTCCTTGGAGACCACTTTGGGCCCTGGAGGAAGCAGGTGAGGTGAGCTGGTTTCAGGCTCCCTGATGGGTACTGCTGTAACCAAGAGCCTCTGAGGAGCAGGGCTCTGCTATGACCCCACAAAGCCCTGGCCGCACACACCTGCCTGATCTGCCTGAAGCCCTCAGGTGGCACACTGGAGAAGATGTTGCACTCGGGCCTCGCCAGGATCTGGAAGGCAATGGCGCAGTGGTGGTTCTCCAGTGGTGAGATGTCGTTGTAGCGCACAGCCAGCTCCGTGCGGGCGTTGATCTGGTATCTAGGATGTGTGGAGAGAGCAGGAGCCTCAGGCACCCTGCCACTGGCATCTGTATGCCAGCGTGTGCACGGTTCCTGCAGAAGCTGGAGGTGCCTAAGGGCGAGTGACCAGACGCCATCTGCTCCCACCAGAAACTTGCTTCGCTGAACCCCTGGCTCTCCTGTAACTGGATATCCCATGCCTTGAAGTCCAACCTGTGATCTCAGCTCTCTCCCTGCGGTGATGCCTTGAAGACATCAAGGTTCCAAAAACTCAGATTTTTGGTATATGCAAAGACAGGATTTCGGGAAAGAGGAAACAGGTTTGTTCTCTTACCCTACCCTATATGTAATTATGTATGTATGTATAAACATATGTATGTGTGTAAGCATGTATGTATATGCATATATAACAAGATCTCATTCTGCAGCCCAGGTGGCCTGGAAACTGGGATCTTTTTGCCTCACTCAGGCTCCAACAGCTGGGGTTACAGGAAAAGCTCCACTGTGCCATTCTAAGGGTTGGATATTGAGGTTAATGCTAAAATGAACTCTTTGCCAGCCTGATGTTGGCATCTGTGGTGACCAATAAATGTGCAGAAAGGTAACAGAGGACTTGCTGGGACCGCCTCTGAGGAGTCCTCATGGCCACGCCTGGCATTGACTCTGTCTGTAAGGAGTACACATGGCTAGACCTGGGACCCACTCTGTCCTGACAAATCGTGGCCCTGGGGACATTTGAGGTCACGTGCAGCCACGAAGGTGCATCAGAGAAAAACCTATGTGTCACTGAATTCAGGCCCCCACTATGAGGGAGGACTCTGTTGGTTCCGTGGGGTGGCATTCTACTCTAATGGAGACAGGAGGTTCTTAGTGTCCCCAGGCCTGGGCCCATCCTCTTGGTCCCGTTACCTGCCTTCTCTAGCCCTGCCCTCACTCACTCTAGCCCTGCTCCTCTGCATGTGCCTTTGGAAGCATCCTGGAAGACAGTGGGGTGAAGTCCCACTGTCCCCCATTGGGGAGGGGGCAGGCTGCCATGCACCTTCAGAGCCTGGGGTTGATAAAAAGGGACTGTGGCTATCTGTGTGGGTTGGTAGCCTTGGAGGTACCTCCTGGGGGAGACCCAGGGCTCTGGACAGAGTCCAAAGCTGGGAACTGCATCCTACAGGGCTAGGGGTCTAGGTTAGCAGCTCCGTCTGAGAGCTGCTGGGTAAGCTGAGTTTCCCCTGAGAGAAGGGGCACTTTCCAAAGCAGAAAGGAGAAAGAAACCCCAAACGTACGTGTTGTTGTACCCTGGGTGGTCCAGATCATGGCAGATGGCTGCGGTCATCAGGACCAAGATGTCCATCTGGGAAAACTTCTCCTGGATTAGGAGAGAGTCAGGCGTCTGTCCTCCTCATGGGAGGGCAGGAGGGGTGGGGGACAGACTGGGCTGCAGTGACAGGGGCAGAGGACACAGTCCCTGCAGAGGTCATACGCCCCCTGGGCTGGGGGCAGGGAGGGCCCAGGTACTCGGCAGGGCGCAGGGCGAGGGATGGAGGGTGGGGGCTGGCAGGACCCACCTGGAGGCCACAGAGCCAGACCATGCTGTACATCATCTGCGTCACACAGAAGCAGTGCCGGAAGTTGTGGAAGGGGTTGTTCCTGTAGTTGTCGTGCACGCAGAGCTGTGGGGAGGGAAGGGTCAGCTCACCGCCCCTGCTCCCGTGAGGCTCCCAGGCATCGGGTGTCCCCAAGTTCGCTATCACAGGACAGTGTAGTCCAGGAGCCCTGCAATGTCCCACCATGCTACAACCTGGGGTCAGGGAGGAAAGTATCCCCGGTGTCTGCTGAGCCACACTGGGATGGAAAGCTGGGAGTGGGGCAGGGAGCATTCCACGAGGGACTCTAGGTTCCCAGGCCTATTGGACAATTAGCAGACTTTTAGTTCTGGATTCATGACATTTTATCCCTTAGAAAAAGATCTGCTACGAAGCACCCATGCCTACCCCCCATATACATACAGCCACCTACACCATGCCCAAGACAGATACATACACTCTCACAAACACACATCCACACTGCCAGGGACATACACTCCCTGTCACACACATTCTCACATGCACACTCCCAGACACACACACGCACACACGCACATTTATATACTCATAGACATAACTCCACGCACGACTCATATAACCTCCTTATCCACATATCCCCAGACACACATGACACCCCCAACTCCACACACCTCTGCTTTAGTGGGCTGCCTTGTGGGTTTCTTCCTGATTGTCATACTGTTTCCTTACTCCTCTGAGGGCATGGGAGGGGGACAAATGACCTAACCAGATGCCCGCTCTGCAGAAGCCCACTGCCACCAGGAAAGGCAGAGTAGCCCATTCCAGTGTGGCAGGGGAAGTGACAGGTCCGAGTGTGGGTTCATCACTTACCAGCCATCTGCGGAGTGTGATGGGGTTGATGTTGAAGTCCCTGACCAGGCCGAGGTCATGGTACATATGCTCTAAGCAGCTCAGCATCTGTGGGAACAGGGCCAGGGGTGAGAGGTCAGGGGTCAGGGGGAGCAGGCAGGCCAGTTGACCCTCCCTCCTATGCACTGTCCTGAACAGTGTCCATGGGGACAACAGAGAAGGGTGGGATAGGCCAGTTTTAGAATCACCCAAACGGGTGGTTACAGCCTGTAGGTCTCCTGGGAAAGAAGTGACAAGGTGTGTTCCAGTCACTATAGCAACCTTGTGTAGGGGGACACAGCTGCAAAGGGTGACACCAAAATGATCACAACCGGAGTCGAGGATTAAGAATTCTGAGGAAGCTCAGCCACCGTACACGTGGGAAGGGGTGTCACTGAGGGCCACCCCTTCCTCGTGCAAGGCTTTGATGAGCTGGAGTCCGCTCCTCTTGCTGGGACTAGAGATGCTTTCTACTGCCTTGATCTGGAGGGCGGATCTCTTGTCCAGACAAATGTTATTTCTGGAAATTCTGTCATCTGTGGATACTTGGTGTAGGGCGAGACAGACATGGTGTTGAATTCTGCTGTCTTTTTTCAGGTCTCTGCAAGCATCTCCCAGAGTTTTGACACTAACTAAGCCGAGGAGGAATAGAAAAGGAACACGTAACTAAGCCTGGATACAGTGGCTTTGCTTTTGGGAGAAGCAGGTCTCGGGGAGACAGATCTGTAATACAGAGCGGAGGGGGACAGCCCTGTGGACACATGGCATGGCCCCATCAGGGAGCACTTCCCCTAGGCCACACATCAGTGCCAGCCTGGTCCTGGGCACCAGCGTCCTAGTACCTGCACAGGGCAACAGTTGTTAGTGCTGTAGCCTGGCTGGTTTCCCTTGTATCTGGGCACCAAGTGGCATCTATGCGAGGGACTGAATTATGTCCCATCAATAGTACGTAGAGACCCCACCGTGACATCCCCACCAACGTGACCATACTGGGGACAGGGTTTTTACAGAGGCAACCAAGATAAATGTGGTCATAGGAGGGGCCCAATTCAATTTGACCACGACTCTGCAGGGACAGATAGGACACAGACACAGAGATAATGGAGAGAAGATGTCTTCTGTAAGCTAAGGGGACAGTGCAGGACTGACCAACCCAAGATACCTTGACCATGACCTCCGGGCTCCAGGACAGTGAGACAATATATTACACACTGCTGTTGTTGAGGCCGCCCAGTCTCCCGTGGTTTGACATGGCCAACTGTCAGAGAAAATGTGTGCATGCCACCAAGCTCTATTCTTTTTTGTTAATTCATATGTATGGGCCCTGGGAATGCGGCAGCTAAGGTGACGTTTTGGGACTACGATAATTAAGTTCTATTGGGAGCAGAGAATTCTATGGTACCACAAGTTCATTTGAGAAACAGAAAACAGTCTCTCACTCAGACCTCACAGGGGACTTAGGCTGTCACGGAGCATCCCGAGGGTACGCTGGCCACATACACATCTTCTTTGAGAAGTCATTGGCTTTGAAGATTCTGGCCCCAGAAAGCACTTCCTGCAGAGCAACAAGGGGTCTGGCCCTGGCTTGAGGACAGCTGACTTCCCAGATGCCAGCTGGCAGCTGCTGTCCTTCCAGGGCTACCGGTTCTTCCACCTTACAGAACGCCAGCCCTCAGGACCCTCGGGTTACAGTCCCATTGGGTTTGCCCCGGAGACCCAGGCAGTGTTCTGAGCAGCCCTGGAGAGATGAAGTATTTGCTGTGGAACCACAGTTGAGAGATGCTGAGAACTGCCAGACGCCACCATCTGCTACCACTTCTGTGATGGACATGGTGGCTTCGGAGCAGGCATGATGGTCTGTTCCCTGAGCGGTGGCTCCTGTAGATGGTGATGGGCCCTGATCAAGAGGGGACGACTTCCAAGGCGACAGCGGGTGATCCCTCAGTGTGGCAGAGCAGCTACCTCACTGCCTGCGGTCTCTGATGACGCCCCATAGGACCTGAGGCACCAGAATAACGTACAATCACATCCTGGATTAGGTCTGAGACGGATACTGGGTGGACCTGTGGGTAGATGTGGCATTGCCCCCACTGGAAGAGAGAGGTGTGCCGCCACAGGGCCCTGATGCTCCTTTGCCATCTCAGGCTCAGGCGGCTGCCTCGGTCCTCGGTGTACATTCAGTCATGCATATTTGCTGTTCACAGTTGAATCTGCCCGAGACCGAGGCTCTTGATTTGGGGTGCTTTTTTCTGGCTTACCACCGGAAGGCAGCGAGAAACCTCAGGAAGCATCCTGCTAGTCTGTCTGTCTGAAGCTATGGACAGTGGAAGATGTCTCATGGCAGGGTCCAGCTGTAAGAGCCATTCACCGTGCCCTCCGGCCAGCCAGAGAGCAGCTATGACCACGGTCTGCAAAGTGAGGGCAGAAGGGTGACGTTTCTATTATGGATGTGTGAGTTCTTCAGCCTTGGGGACAACTTTCGCTCCCACCACAGGGAGCACTGTGCTCGGAGGCTCCATGGAGGGGGTAGCAGCAGCAGAAAAAAACAAAACACAAACCTTCAAGTATTGGTTTCTATGCAGCCACCCTCACTAGAGACATTGACTGGCTAAAGCCAACGACTGGGTATTGGGACCATCCTAGAGAGTGAAGCAGAAGCATGGCTGGCCACCTACTGGTGGGAGGAGCCACATTCTGAGCCACCTGCTGTACCTTTCTTTGTCACAGTCTTGCTCTGCCCAGGACCTGGAGGCACCACACTGGCGAGTCTCTTCAAAGCCCTATCTTTGTTTCTGGTACCTGTGCCCAGGAAACTGTGACTCCACACTGACCTGGAAGGACTGCACGTCTAAGACGCTGCCTGAATGCTGATCTCTGCATGCCAGCTTCATACCTCAGAGCTGGAGCGCGGAACCCTTGGTAGCTGCACCTCTGGCGTTTATGGATGGGGTGCTCTTCCAGTGAACTGAGCTAGGTCCTGCTTTTTCTGTTTTGTTGTTGTTTGTGGATGTATAGGGAGGTTGTATGTGTGTGGGCGAGCATGAGGGTGTGTGTGTGTGTGCATGCACACACATGAGTGTGGAGGCCAGAGGTTGATATAGTATTTTTGCTTTGTTTTGTTTTTTGAGACAGGGTTTCTCTGTGTAGTCCTGGCTGACCTGGAACTTGCTCTGTAGACCGAGCTGGCCACAAACTCAGAGATTCACTTGCCTCTGTTTCCGGAGTGCTGGGATTAAAAGTGTGTGCCCACTACCACCTGGTATCATTCTTGATTGCTATCCACCCTTTCGAAAACCTGAGGCAGGATCTATCACTGGAACACAGAGCTCACTGATTAGACCAGTCTATCTAACAAGCCTGCTCGGGGCATCTCTGCCTCCCCTGTGCTGAGATCACAGGCAGCTGCCATACCCAGGAGACATTTACATGGATGCTGCAGATCTGAACCCCCATCCTCACCGTGGACAGCAAGCTCCTTTAGCCACCAAGCATCTTCCAGCCTAGTCTCTACTTTTCTGGCCAAAGTTCCCCAGCCAAAGGCCCTCTGATGCTGGGCAGGAACATGTTGGAAGAGGTTTATTTGGGAAATATGGGGACTCTCTTGTCTAAAGTCACAAAATCGCATTTGCTACAACTGACCTTGCCAAGGGAACAGAGAGCAGTTTGGTCTATTTCCACAAGTCTGTGCTTTGGAAAAGCGAAGAGCCCTTAGGCTTTGGTGAGTTGCCCGTGAGGAGGAACTTGTTCTTTCTCCACGTTGATATTTCTTAGCAAATGAGAAACTTTGAAGAAATATCTTCCGGTCAAAATCGATTCCTCTCTCTGCAAATCTCACATAGGCACTATCTTGTGTCCAGCTGCCTGGGGCCTCTGTTGGTGACACTTTCCAGTAGGATGCTCCTTTGGAGGCCCCTTTCAGCAGGAAACAGCTGTTCCAAGCAGCGGTTCTGCCTCCAAACGGCAAGGCAACATCTTCCCACATATCCTGACGATAAGAGTGTGCTCAGCCTGGGCCTGGGTTCAGCTGGTTGCCTGGAGTCATTTTTGGTGTCATCAGAAGGTCAGGGGTTGTTGGTATTCTTTTTTTTTAAAGCTTGGGTAAGGCCCCCTTGCCTTGGGCTCTGACTTTTGAATCCCTCTGAGCCAACTGAGTCATTTTGAATTAATATCTAGAAATTTTAATTCAGGAGTGTTTAACTTAAAAAAAAAGACAAGAGAAAGTACACGGGAGGAATAGACTGGGCACAGCCCCCATTCAGCTGCCGTCCTGAGCAGCTGTCCCCAGTGACCGGAGAACCTGGGTGTCCCTCACCTACCTCGTTGGGTTCCCAAAGCCAGACATCGAAGGTGGGCTTCCGGAGGGCTTCGATGGTCTCTGGGGAGAGCAGGTACTAGGAAGACGAGAGTGGTATGTTAGCCTGACAGTGAGGCGTCTGTCTGTGAGTGACTAAAGCCGTGCTCACGGTGGCATCAGGGTGAGCATTTTCTCCTTCTCCAGTCCCCCTCACAGATGCTGTGAACAGACTCGGGGCTGTCCTTCCTTGGAAGCTGTCACTGGACTCCCCTCTATAGTGGCCTGGGCTACGAGGGGCTCCTAGGACCAGGGTCGATCAGGGGCTCCTAGGAACGCTTGAATGATAGAAATGTTCCCTGCATTTACCATGATGGTAATCTCATGACTATGTGTGTCAGAACTCACTGTGCTCAGAGTCCAAGAAAATGAACTTCACAACTGTCAATCAGATCTCAACAGTAAAAGCTACGTAAAGTGAAGAGAAGGGACAATAAGCCACTGGGCGCGTGTGCACATCCCTGCCGAGAAGCTCTGCTGGGTTTGTCTGGGGCGGGGCGGGGGTGGGGGAGCCACCCCCGGAATCAGCCTCAAGCTAAGCCACACCCTGGCTGATGAAGGCCTGAGGCTGAGGTTGGGTCCACTGAGCGCTGAGGTGTAGGGTGAACTGTCAGCATCAAGGGTGATATTCTGGACGCGAGGCAGCAGGAGGGCCGCCATGGGGTTAGCCTTCTTCATTCTCTTAAGATGGGACTGGTGTGGAGGCTGGCTCAGTTTGTTCCCTTCTGGGCCATGTAATCCCCAGACAGGATTGCAAAAGATATGGGCCATGTTTGTCCATGCCGAAAGGTGTTGGTCTCCTGGATGATACTCAGTGCACGGCTTGGACAGATGTGGAACAAATCACTGACTAGTGGGCTCCAGGGACCTATGGGGGCTTCCAGGAGAACCTGTGGGTGGTCGGCTTAACCTCAGCATAAAAGTGCGAGCCAGGGTTTAACCAGAGTCCGCCGCTACGGGGGTGGCTTTCTTTGGAGGCATCGAAAAGAGCTGAATTCCAGGTCATAGCTACTTGACTCTGGGCTTGGCTGCTTTTAAAACTCAGGAAACTTTTGTGAAAAGCTTTCCATAAAAACGGTGTTGTTCAGGGACAGGGGAACCAGTGATGCAGATTTTTAAGATCCTTGTTAAAAGTTCCTTGGTGGAATGTTTGTATACAGATGTCTTTTATGTCAGCTGTGGGCCGGGGAGGTAAGGAGCTCTGGAATTGCTTCTCTAAACAAATGTCCAAGAGAAAAATATCCTGCCTGACAACCTCCCACCCTTCCTCAGCCCGTGATAGGGATGGAGGGGGGGTGTTGGCACTGTGCAGAGCAGGGGCCAGTCATGGGTTCCTGCGTCCTGGGTCTGAGGGACACAGAGCTAGAACTTTCCCTGGGCCAGAAACCCATCTCACCTTGGGGTAAGTGGGGACATCACGTCGGGGTGTCAGCTTCTTGTTATCCAAAAAACTGTATTTACAGGGACAGTTGGTCCTGGAGGGGAGAGGAAGAACTAGTTATGGCATGGTACTCTGGCTGGGAAGCACTCTGTATACTGCTCAGGGCAGCAGAGCAAACAGAACACACAGCCCCAACCCTAGGACCCGCAGCCTCAGCCCCGGACCTGTAGCCCTAGTCCTGGAACGCACAGACCCAACCACCAGATTTGCCATAGGGGTATCCAGCAGGGCAGCTGGGAGATGCTTGGTTCCTGGATAGCAAATAGGGATACCCTGAAAGCCAGGTGATAATATGGCCAGAGCTCACTTTATTAATAAATTTATTAATATATGTATAATTAATAAACTTACATTTGGAAATAAATTTATTATAATCTATTAGTCTATTATTTAAGAGATAGCTACAAAATCTTTTTAAAAGACACAAGAACTTTTTTTCTTTTCCCTTGCTTGCTTTTTTTTTCTGAGACAGGATCTCACGTAGCCCAGGCTGGCCTCAAACTTGCTATGTAATCAAGGATGACCTTGGACTTCTGAGCCCCCTGTAGGCTAGGATTATAGAGGTGCCTTACCACCAACCCCTAGTTTATGCGGCGCTGGAGATGGAAGCCAGGGCTTCGGGAACAGGAGGCAAACACTCTACCAGCTGAGCCACATCCTACACACAGTAGAACATCTGATTCTCAAAGATTCAGCCGCGTGTGGCAGTCCACGCCTGTGATGTCAGCACCCAGGTGATGAGGCTGAAGGGTCTTGTGTTTGCGGCCAGCCTGGGCCACAGGTGGGGTTCCCGACTCAGAACAAACAAAAGCCAACAAACACAGCAGAAAAACAAAAGAAACTCTCACGTTCCCACTTGCCCATTTCTCCCCAAGCCCCACACCCCGGACGTCACTCTGAGAACAGCCTGGGGTGTCCTTTTAGAAGGTCCTGAGAAGGTCCTGAGGCACAGAAACACATGGCTAGACACCTGAGCTTTCCAGCCACATGCGGTGTTGGGTTAAGAAAACGGGTGGTATTGTGGGAAAATATTTGCCCTGTATGGTTACAATTTAATCTACTTATTTTAAAAAAATATTTATTTTATTATGTATACAATATTCTGTCTGTGTGTATGCCTGCTGGCCAGAAGAGGGCACCAGACCCCGTTACAGATGGTTGTGAGCCACCATGTGGTTGCTGGGAATTGAACTCAGGACCTTTGGAAGAGCAGGCAATGCTCTTAACCTCTGAGCCATCTCTCCAGCCCCTAATCTACTTATTTTTTTCATAACATTACAAGCCAAGAAGATCACAAAACAGTATTTTTAAGTTTTTTTTTTTTTTTCCTTCAAAACTAGTTGAACATACCCAAGAAAACACCAGGGAGGGAGACTTTGCAATGGATTTAAATTAAAGACAGGCCTGGATGTTGCCACTATCAGTGACCCCCCCCCCCCGCCTCTCTCTGGGTCGTCTGGAGTCTTCCGTGAGCCTGCGATATTTCCAAGCCCAGAATCATAAATCTATTCCTTTTGAAACACAGCCTTTACCTCCCTCCCAACTGCACACTTGCCAAGACTATCAGGTTTCTGTGATGGCCGCTGTACCAAACACAGATGTAGTAAATCTGTGACAGAAGGAATAGACCGAATAGCCCAGTAAAGCCATGCCACCCCTGCCCTGTCCACATGCCACCCTGATTTCAGATCGGCTCCTCTCTCGGCTGCGTAGGGTGGTACGATGCTCCCTTTCTCCCTGAATCTCATTTGTATAAACATTCACACATGTGTTCTATTCTGTGTCTTCTGCCCAATGCCCAAGCATATGGAAGCCCTCACCAGTCACTATCTATGCTGACACTAGAATCTTGCTCCTTCCTGCTGAGGCCTTGGGGGCAGACCAGGATGCTGGGTGCCTGCTGACCCTGTCTCGGCCAGCCACTTCTCACTCTGGGCCCCGTTGCCACAGGGACCAGCATCCTCCAGCTGGCTGAACAATTGGCATAGCACCTCTTCTTTTTGTCCCATTTGGAGCTCATTTTTGCCTCATTTCCTGGGGTTCCCATCCTCCCATCCCCTGGGGATCAATCAGTTCATGGTCAAGACCATTTGTCTGGGACAAAGGCAGAGATTATAGCCTCCAAACCTCAGGCGCTACCCCATCTTTCTGCATGACCCCGCCTTGGCCTTGCTCCCTTCTCGTTCCTTCATTGTGCGGTACAGGAGAACACAGCAGCCGCATTCAACTTACTTCTGCCCTGAATGTAACCTAGCCACTGGAGTTATTTCTTTGCTGGGAAACAGAGGAAACTGAGAGGGTCTAAGAAGAAGACATCCTGACCAGGGCTCTGGCAGGCTGTGCGTGTGCCCCCTGCTGTCCCCAGGTAGGTTCTGGTGGATTCAGACCCCCGGTAGGGTGTGTTCACAAGTGGGTTCTTCAGACTCATGATTGTGGGGCTGGCTGGGATCCCCCCATACCCACCCCACCGGCTCCTATTCTTTCTGCTCCCCGAGAAAGCCAAGAATATGGCAGCTGCATCCCTCAAGGGTACAACCTTTTCTTTACAATCCAGGTGAGGCTACACAGCCTCATCCGGGGGGATGGGGGAGCTTGATTTCTGGGTGTGCATCTGTACTTAAGATGAACTCCTTCCATCAACAAGACAGAAGGGGAAGCACAAACACCACACTCCCCATTCTGCATTCAGAATACTAAAGCATTGGGTTCAGGAGAAAGCCGGCTACAGGGCCCTGAGCCAAAACTAGGTGTGGACTTGATCACAGCCAGTGCCTCAGATCGGCTTGCTCATGTGGAGGTGGAACCTGAGCATGTCGCCCCCTTGTGGACATTAAGGCAGCCCACAGATCCATCTCGCTCACAAGGAATGCCCCATCACTATCTATAGACAGTGCCATTTCTGCAAGCCTGCTGGGGCACTGGAGGGCTCTGGCTTATATCTCTGAGCTCCAGACTGTACCTGTGGGGTACAGAGGCACACTTGTCACTGAACCGAGCCAAAGACCCACTACAGGCAGACTGCCAGCGCTGCTGATGTGGGCCGGCACAGAGGCCACTTGCCCCTACTTGGTCCTGGGGAGTCAGGCTTCCTGGGGTGATAGCAGGAGGAGTGAGGCCTTGGGTCCAAGGCTTTCAGGTTGGTTTCCAGCCTCAGTTGACTATCATCTGCCCCCATCTGCCCCTGGGTTCTTCTTAGAGGACTCTCTTGACCCCTGAAGAGCTACTTTCTTAAGGACAAGGAGAGTGAAATGTTCGCTCAGTTTCCTAGGGCTGCAAAATGCTTTGCCCTGTTTCATCCAAATCAAAGGAACAAGAGCTCCCAAACTCTACACCAGCTGGCCAGTCCTTGTGTCACTGAGTCGATGTGGTCCCCATAGGACAACATGGTGTACCTCTTGCCCTCCCTGAGACAACTGCATGAGGACCACTGGCTTTCCATGTACCTCCTACCTGCAGGTAAGCACCACAGCCACCCTCAGCAGGCAGCCTGGCTTTGTTTGAATTCAGGCAGTGGTCTCCAGTGCAGCTTGGGATTCTAAGACAACTGAGATTGCTTGTTCAGGGCTGGTCCTTGCTCCGGGGTTGCCCTATGGTCACGCACTCTGTTTTTTTGTGGATAGTCCTGCTGACCAACTATCCAGCAGGCACATTTTGCTTGGATTACTGGTCACCGGCCTCTGTGGACACCACCTTTGATGGGCTGTGTGATCCAAGTTCATGATAATGGGAACACTTGCTGTGCCCCTCTGCCAGAAGGGGCTCCCCATGGGAACTGGGAGACCTGAGGGTGAAAACTGGGGGCTCCCTATAAGCCAAACACCTTTGTCGCCTTACTGTTATCTTTAAAAAATAGATAGCATCTGGGTGTGGGGGCATGTGTCTTTAATCCCAGCACTCGGGAAACAGAGGCAGGGCAGTGAATCCCTGTTAGTTCAAGGCCAGCCTGGTCTACACAGAGCGAGTTCCAAGACAACCACAGCTAAATAAACAAACAAAAACAACACCCACAGCCACAACAAAAAACCCAAAACAAAACAACAAAAACCAGACCTCAACTTCCTTCAAGTGGGGAATTTACCACAACACAGGTCTGAAGGAGAGGGAGCTCCCTCTCTCCTGTGCGGCCATTTTCCAGCTCGCGCCTGCCACAAAACCCCCTTTTTTTTAAGAAAACATAGGGGGCTGGGAAGATGGCTGAGCAGTTATGTGAGCACTTACTGTTCTTGCAGAGGACCTGGGTTCTTTTCCCAGCACCCACAAGGCAACTCACAACTGCCTGTAACTCCAGTTCCAGAGGATCTGACACTTCCTTTCGGCCACCATGGGCACCAGACATGCAAATGGTGCACGGACACATATACAGGTAACACTCGTGCACATAAACTAAAAATAAACAAAGAAACAAAACTCTTCAAGAGAATGGGATGGAGGAGCATTGGCACAACAGGCTTCCTCTAGCTCGTGTCAACCACGTTGGAACCAGAACGACCAAGTCACATTAGCTTTTCTGTGTGGGGACACAAAGCCCCATCCCATGCTCTCCGCACGGAACCCTTTCCAGGGCCAAGTGCTGCAGGCTCCGGGCACACGCTCACCTGCTGTTTCTGGCGGCCAGCTCCTCCCGCATCTTCTTAATGTCACTCTTGCATTTTTCGATCTCCACCACTTTAAGTCCTTCCACTGGTGACAAAGAGACACAGGTGGGGTCACCAGAAGTAGTCGCAAGGATCTAGTCAGGCTGGTAGCTGAGGGTCTCAGGAGGATGCTGGCTCACGGCAGACGCTTCCACGCCTTCCCATGCTACTGAGATGTGGGGATCCCTCAGCTCCCCACCAGTCAAGAAACAAACAGGCAACGTCAAGGAAGAGCAGGTTGAGACTCAGTCACATTCTGGGCAGGTGTGTATGTGTGTGTGTGTGTCCCAGTGAACTGGAGGGTGTGCCTGCCAACAAGCTACTAGCCAAGACGTTCCCTCGGAAATGCAGCCGGAAGCTGGGCTCTTGAGGAACCAAAACAATGATTATGTTATTTTATGACCACCTCTTGGTTTTCTGCCAAAGGACAGTGCCCACCGTGACAATGTACTCTCTTTCTCACTCAGTTGGGCTCAGAATAACTGTTAAAAACACAGCACGGGGGCTGGAGAGATGGCTCAGAGGTTAAGAGCATGGGCTGCTCTTCCAGAGGTCCTGAGTTCAATTCCCAGCAACCACATGGTGGCTCATCAACCATCTGTATTGAGATCTGGCGCCCTCCTCTGGCGTGCGGGCATACATCGAGGCAGAATGTTATATACATAATAAATAAATCTTAAAAAAAATCCGACAGCATGCCCCTTCTAAAGGAAAAACAGCCATTCAGGGAGTTGGCAAGTTCCTAACAATGCCTCTCATCCAAGAAGAGGAGCTGCAGCTCGGGAGCCTGGCATAACTCAGCCTCCTTCTGGGCTTTCTAGAACTTTTCAAGGTAGTAGTTAAGCTGGCATAGGACTCCACAGGGACACTGCCTCTTCTGCACAAAGGGACACAGTCATCTCTGGTCCTGGTGACTTGCTTTTGGGCCAAAGAAACTTCTGTCCCTCCCATACAAAGCTGGCAGGAAGCTGTGCAAAACAAAATGAAGGCCTCAGGTGCCAGTGGCTGGGTTAAGGGTGGTGGCAGCCTGGGGACAAGTCGGGGGGACACACAGAGGCCGGGCATGTTTGTTCACCCACTCAGTCACCCTCCTTTGGAGTGAGGTTCTTTACACTTTCCTGTATCGCTGGTACCCAAAGAAGCTGAAGGTCAAGGGTGTTCTCAGGATAGGTGCTCAGGCACTCCTGGGGGTCCTTAGCAATGGATTTAATTTGGCTGCTGTGGCCTTGTTTAGACCTCCTGGCTATATTTTTGCAGGCTGAAGGCATGCCTCTAGAACACGAACGCAATACGTGGTAAATCAACAACCACAGCAAGCTTGCCTCTCAAATCGACCAATGAACGAGAGGCAGGACCTTGTGGGAAGTGAGCGGTCCCATGGAGAGGTGACCCACAGCTCTGCTTGCCGTGTGGGTTTGAGACAGCTGTCCCGTGTGACACAGATCGGCTCAAACATGCGACGGTCACTCATGCCTTGGTCTGTCAGTCGTTGGGAGTACAGGTGTGACCTACATCTGGGATTCTGCAGCTCACCATAGGCCCCATTCCAGTTCCTCCACCACTCTGTGGAGAAGGAAGCCTACTTCAGGGTACGGATGCTCCATACGGAGAGGAGAGGCAGTCAAAAACAACGGTGGGAGGCTGCTGTGCTCATGGCCTGGCCCTAGTTCCATCCTTTAGGGCCCTCTTGTTCTCTCTTAAGCTTGGCAGATAGGTAGGCACAGATACCCCAAGCTAAAGTAGAAGTTCCCGGAATCATTTAACCTCGCCAGGGCCCTGGTGACGCAATCAACGTGACCCTCTGCCGTGCTGCTGTGCAGAATTATTCTGCTTTGAAACCTTGGAAGTACATGTGGACTTCAAAAGGGATTTCTGAAAAAAATAATGTGCATGCATGTTTTGCATTCATGGGTGTCAATGCACCACCTAAGTGCAGTGCCCCAGGAGGCCAGAAGAGGGTGCTGGATCCCCTGTAACCGGAGTTAAAGACAGTTGCCATGTGGGTAGGTGTGGGAAACTGAACCCAGGTTCTCTGGAATTGCAGCCAGTGTTCTTAATCACTGAGCCATCTCTCCAGCTCCAACTTTGGAAGGGTTTTGTGTGGACTTCTGTATCTTTACTTCCCAATGAAAAGATTTGAGAGTGACTTCCTAAGAGATGGTGGCTCGGAGGAAAAGGGGCCATAGCAATAGCTAAGGTGGTTTTCACCTTCTTCCACATTAAGAACCCACAGGATCTGGGGGGCTTGTTCTCTCCTGGCTGCAAAACTAAGGCTCTCCTCTCAAAGGCAGGGAGCTGAGTTTTCCAAAGCCTTTTCCTGGGGCTGCTCTGAAGGTTTGCCTCAGTCACACTTCCTGGGAGGGGGGGAGCAGATACAGAAGGGCTGGTTTGGTTCAGTTCAGTATGGAAATTCTGGATTCTTTGCATGCCCCGTGTCCAACTCTGCTCCCAGGGGTTAGCTCTGGCTGTGGCCCACACTGGTGTTTAGGTCTTGGTTCAGGTCCAGGGCATGGGTACAAAGGGTAGAGGGAGCAGGGTTTCCCTGTGCCCCCCCTCCCCCAGCACACCAGAAAGGAAGTGAATAGCTCCAGGCAGGACAGGAGGCGAGGGCCAGGCTGTTCCAAGGTTATGAAATCACCTTTGACCCACCAGTAATCCCAGACGCCTTAAAGGCTAAACATTTACACAGAAAGGGAGAAAAAGCGCTGGAAGTCACTGGAGGAGAATCGTGTATTTGGCTTAAGGTCAAAGGGCAAGCAGGAAATTCCATTCATGACAAGGTCAGTGCAGTGTGGGGGTTTACAGGCGGCCTGGCTAGCTGGATGCCCCTCACCCTGAGACACAGATAATAGCTGATGGCGGCCAGGTGAAGTTGCATGTGTACGCATGCCCATGCGTCTTTATGCACATATCTTTATGCCATGTCTTTATGCACATATTTTTGCATGGTTGTGTCTATATGGAGCAGGGACTCGAGCTGAGCTCCTGGCAGCCTATGCAGTCATACAGGGTCAGGACCATCTGGGTTGGACAATTCCCTAGCGTCCTGCTCCTAGTGAGGTCTGACCGTAGTCCCCACTCAAACTTTGCACCCTGTCTCCCATACTTGCATATACCCGACAAGCCCTATCTGCATCTTCAGAGTGAGGACCTAAGTATCTGAAACTCAAAGTCCCTGGGGATCAGCATTGGTGACATCCCTGGCTATATCCATGCTAAAAGGAGAGGTCTCTGGAGACTCTGGAGACCAGGAAGTGGTCAGCTAAGAGGACCGGGAATGAATGAGCCCAGAGCCAGCTGGATTTAAGTGGCAGAGAGCCCGTGCATACAAGGCCACTCCTGGCAAGAAGACATGGAGATGCCAGAAATAAGACCGACACCTGTGACAGACGAGGCATCAGAAGAGGAAAGACAAATGGAGGTTGAGGAGGTACCTGCTGGGTGTGGCAGTCATAAGCCAAATGGTGACAGTGGCTTTATGTATCTGTTGATGTGGCTGGTGCCCTGGCAGTGAGCTCCTTCCATGGTCTGTGGCTAAAGTTCCTCTCACATTTAGAGAGTCCAATACTCCATACATCTCAGCAGGAGACTAATCTGATCTCTGCTGACAAAGAGGGAACGATGGATGCTCACTGTAGTGGGTTGAACTGTGTCTCATAGAGCATGTGACCTATCCTAAATCCCGGGTCCTGTGAATGCCTCTTGATTTAGATGAGAGATCCTTGGCAGTTATTAGACAGAGAATGTGAGATGGGACCATCCTTGATTCAAACAGAGGCGTTTTAAGAAACAGACGGGGAGTACTGAGATATTAGTGGCCGGGAGGAGGGAGCCACATGAAGACAGGGGCAGGATGCAGCCGTGGAGTGACTCCAGTCAGGTAACCAACTACCAGAGACAGCCTAGAAACGACTCTCCCTTAGATCCCAGAGGCGCCAGCCCTGCTGATACTTTCTGAGCCAGAGTTTCTGGCTCCCAGAAGGCACTGCTGGGATTCAAGGAGTGGCACTCTGAGGTGTAAAATTGTGAGGTGGCCCCAGGAGTGCACACTCTCCTACTCTGGCTGTGCTTCAGCTCCAGCAGGCTTGGAATCTGGTGCCAGTGGGAGCAATGGCAGTGGGGACAGTGGGGATCCAAATGAGGAGACGCCAGAGGGACTAGGAGTCTAAGCATCTTACACAGTAACACCTGCAGCTCACTCAGGTGTTAAAAGGATAGTGTGTGTGTGTGTGTGTGTGTGTGTGTCGGGGGGGGTGTCAAGCTGCACTACACCCTCTAGCAGTGTGGTGGGCTCCCCAAGATCTCATCTTCTGTTCAGAGCCCTCATGAGGGCAAGACAGGTGTGCAAGAGGGTGCCGCCTCCCTAAGGAAAGGTGGCGCGGACTCCAGACACTGGTCTTTTCTTGTCTCATTGGCTGAATGAACTGGAGGGTCACTATTTGTGATTCTCATCATCCCAGGCAAGACAAGATAGTCTTGAGGACTCAAAGATCAGCTGGATTGGGAAAAGTCAGTGTGCTTTGAGGAGGACATATGAGAGAGATGATGGGAACGTGTTTCAGCTTATTCCAGGGAGCTGGATTTTATGTGATAGAAATTTTTTTTCTTGAAAAAAAAAACAAGAGAAGCAATTAAAAAGCAAGATACCAAAAAAAAAAAAAAAAAAAAAAAAGAAAAAAAGAAAGAAAGAAAGANTTCAGCTTATTCCAGGGAGCTGGATTTTATGTGATAGAAATTTTTTTTCTTGAAAAAAAAAAACAAGAGAAGCAATTAAAAAGCAAGATACCAAAAAAAAAAAAAAAAAAAAAAAAAAAAAAAAGAAAGAAAGAAAGACATCCACTCAATCTTCCGAACAGAATCTGCCACATATTCTTCGGGGATGCTTGCCTCTTAATGGCTTCCTGTTTGGATTCTGTGTACTCAGCCCAAGTTAATAAATTAGGTGCCCGTGTATTGCCAGGCTGAGCCTGACAGTGACAGAGCGCCTGGCTGTGGAGCTGAGGGTGGAATGTGGGATCCGCAGGCCTATGGGGCGGAAGCATCGAGCCTTTCATTGATTCCCTCGCGACAGCTGAGGGGCCTCGAAGCTATTTCCCTCCCCAAATGTGACTTTTTGGGACCTGAACGGAGACTGGTCCTGACTCTTGCTCTTGCTCACGGGCAGAGTTTCTTCTTTCCTGTAGCGGTGGCTGAACACTGAGATGCAGATGTCATATACTTATTCCAAACTCTGCAGAAGCAAGCTGCATAGCGGCGTGAAGAGACATTCCCCTGTCTCATGCAGAGAGGCGCAGAGCTGGAGTCCTGGCAGAGGTTCTGCTGGGCCAGACGGAGGCCATTTGGGGTATTACTTTGTGTTCTGTGCGGCTTTGTACGAGCTGCGCTTCATAGAAACGCGTGCTTAGATCTGTCCTGGTCTAGCCTTTGTTAATATCGGAGCAGCACGCCAAGAAAAGATGTGTTTGCCGTCAGTACTAACTCGTTCGTAACTCTAAGTGGCTAATTCTGACGGTGGTTAGAAGTATACGTGGAAAGCAGAAAGGAGGAAAAAAAAAAACTCCACTCACGTTCCACCCGTTTCTCCAGCACGGCCAGGTGGTTTGCAACTTCTGCTTTCAGCTCGTTGATCTTAAACGCTCTGAGGGGAAAAGTGGGGAGAAAAGATAAAACGTGACCCAGACTGGCAAACACGTATGGGTTCCTACCTGAGATAAGGTCTCCAAGGAGGCTAGAGAGGGGACCAAGACAGCAGGAGATGCTTTTAAAGAATGCATAATGTCCCTGGGTCTGGTGTCTTCACTACTCTGTCCTGGGTTCTCTGTGTAGACTTAAGGTGGGTTTACCCCAAGCCTGTACCCTGCCCTGACCAACACAGACAGCTACGGGGTACTGCCGTGCTCAGAAATCGCTCTGAGAAACTAACAATACTGACATAGAATTTAGTAGGGTGTTGATGAATGAAAAGGAAGCCCTGCCCCTCGACCTACACAGCAGTTCAGTGGGAAACACTCATTTGTAAAAGGGTGTTTTGTAGGCGGCTTCAAGTCCTGGAAAAATGGAGTGGTGGGGGTGGACTCACCACCCCAGAACTAATAATCTTCCAGCAGCCACTGGACACAATTTTGGGGATAAGATGAAGGTTTGCTAGAATGTGCCTGGCTAGTCTCGCTACTGAAGCTACAGAAGCCTCACTATGGCTACGCTCAGCTCCCACAAGCCTGAAAAGTACATGCAGAGAATACGGTACCTGGAGAACTGCTCTGCCACCTGGGCCAGCACACCCTGGATGAGTTCTTCTCTTTCTACAAACCAAAGGAGAGAGACCGATGCAGTACAGGCTGGGAGGGAGGACGCAGAGGCAGGCAGGTCACTAAGGGTTCTGTCCCTGAGTGAGCTGCAGGTGTTACTGCGAAGGATGCTTAGACTGTCAGTCGCGGGAAGCAGGGCCTCCATGAAGGTTCTCCCTCTTCTCTGCTGCCTGCTCTTACTGGCTCCTTGTCAGTGGCCCAGGCTGATGTTCTCCAGGTACTACCACAGCGAGATAAGGCAGGCCAGCCTGGGGGCTCTAAATATGGGCAGCTTTGTCTTAGGGCTCATTTTATGGGGACAATTACTATGACAGAATGGGGTCAATGCCCCGCTGGAGTGAAAACATAGTGTTCTCAGGATGGGCCTGCAGAGAGGAAGCAGGCTGGGTGGAGCAGGCCTGGCCTCTTGCTGCCTGCCCTGTAAAACTGGGTTGGGTGGCCAGTTTTACAAGGTTCAGGCCCCAGACTGATCATAACTTGCCTCTTTCCTATTTCCTGACCAGCCCAAATGCTGAGACTTATGGGAAGGTGCAGATGGCCAGTCCACTGCCCTCTGTCGTGAGTCTGTCTGTGTCCTTGAGAAAGGGGAGACCTTCTTGTCCCAGTTAATCATTCATTCATAACCCCAAACTCAGAGACCCTATAAAGGGATTCATAGACGCTTCTGCAGAGGGAGTATGCTCACTGGTAGAGCACTTGACTGCATAGATGCTTCTACATAGGCCTGATGCTTAACTTGCCCCAGCAATCAAAACAAAGCAAACCACAACAGCACAGCCAAGAAAATACTACGGCAATTTAGTCCAGCAACGGAACTCAAAAGCTAAGAATGTCCCCGTTTCCATCCAGTGCCTGCTTTCCGGTAAATGGCCGGGAACACACAGAAGATAGCCGGCTACCAGGGCATCAATTAGCACGGAGAGAGTGAGCACAGCCTGCCTGTGTGTGGTGGCGACACATCTGTGTTTAGCACACCTATGGAGGTCAGAGGATAATTTGTGGGAGTCAGGTCTCTCATTTCATTGCGCGGATTTGAGGACCCAAACTTAGGTCGCCAGGCTTGGTGGCAAGCACCGTTAACTGCAGAGCCGTCTTGTGGGCCTCAGAATTGTTAAATTAAATATGACGAATCGGTACACACATTCTACTATTGATAATAATTTCAGCTCAGCATGCCTTTTTATCCCGTGGGAGGGTAGGGCGGGAGTTAGGAGGCCAGGTGGGCGGGAAGAACAAGTTCAAGGTCAGCTATAAACTGCCCAAGGAAACCTTGTCTAAAGTGGGAAAAAGAGGAAGGAAAAGACAATTCATTTAAAAATGTTCATGTCTGGGAGACAGAGGCAGGAGGATGACCAGCGAGTACATGATAAGCCAGCCAGAGTTATGTAGCAAGATCCTAACTTTAAAAACAAAAACAAGGGGGCTGAAGAGATGGCTCAGCAGCTAAGAAGTGCAAGTTCAAGTCCCAGCACCCACACGGCAGCTCACACCTGTCTGTAACCCCTGTTCCAAAGGATCAGCCTCCATCACGCAGAAATACACGTAGACAAAACCACTAATGTACATTAAACAAGAAGGAAAAAAAAGATTTATAAAAAACAAAAGCCAAGTAGAAAAGTTAGCATCTGTTGTTAGATGTAAGAAAAATGGTTTTTGAGAGGCTGAAGAAATCTTTCAGAGGTTAAGAACACTGGCTGCTCTTGCAGAGGACCTGGGTTTGATTCCCAGCACCCACATAGAGACTCACAGCCAACTATTTATAACTCCAGTCCCAGGGTACCCAGTGCCCCTTCTGACCTCCAGGGGTACCAGGTATGCACACGGTACACAGACATATATGTTCAAGTCAAACCCTCATAAATAAATAAATATATTTTTTTTTTTGGTTTTTCGAGACAGGGTTTCTCTGTAGTTTTGGTGCCTATCCCGGAACTAGCTCTTGTAGACCAGGCTGGCCTCTAACTCCCAGAGATCCGCTTACCTCTGCCTCCCGAGTGCTGGGATTAAAGGCGTGCGCCACCACCGCCCGGCTAATAAATAAATCTAAAAAATTCTTCAAACGCTGTTTCAAACGGTAACAGAACAATCCTATTTTTCAAACATGTTGGGAGGGAACCTTCAAAAACACAAACCGTTATCTTTTGCTTGTAAGATTCCATTTTCCTATTTTTTTTTTTTGCTTCCTCGGAGAATTTTTCATTTTTACCATGAATATATTTTAATTTTCTAATGAGAAAAAAAGTTGTTTCCCCCTCCCTTCTTGGTCACTTGTACTCAGTCCAAGAAACAGAACCTTGTTGGTACCCCAGAAATCTCTTTGGCCTCCCTGAGTCCCTGTCCCTCCACAGGTCACCTGAGCTCTAGGCAAATGCCAGCTCACAGCTTCCAGCCTCACAGGAACGCGGGTGTGCTGGTGTGTCCTCCTGTGTCTAACGCCTGCAGATAAGACTGGGTGGCAGCGGCGGTGCCTGTAGCAGGGACCTGTGATGCCAGGACACCCTTACCAGGCTGATGCCACTGAAAATTCCAAACTTAGCAATTCGGTTCATCAGCGGTGTGAGTACCATTTCAAGTAGCACGTGGCTAGGTGACACCTTTGCTGGCACAGGCAGATGGCACGCAGGTCGCTTAAGGAAGTTCTGCAGTTGGTACTGTTATGCCCAAGTTTCTGGTCCCCAAGTGAATTCATGGAGCTGGATTTCCAATGCAAATTACACGAGGGTTTTTAATTCAAACTCAGGTTTGGACTACACCTCCACCATACCAATGCAGTGGGCGAGGGAAGTGCAGCCCCAAACCCAGGAAAAGGGGCAAACTTTTAAAGAGGAAACGCCACAATCAGGGGCGTCTGAGTCCTGTCGTCTTGGAGTTGGGTGAGGAGCACACAGGATAAGGTAGTTTCTGAACCCAGTGGTCAGTTTTTGGGCGCAAAAACTTAACAAAGAGCCATTAATAACTGACAAGGTGTCGTCAAGAACAGGATGTCTCCCAAGAACATCTGGACCTCGTTAAATTTTATGGCCCTGCTCCCTAGCTCCTTAATTGGCTATTTTTAGGGTGTCTGTTCAATTTCTGCTATTGTAGCATATTCCTGGAGCTGAGACCTGCTCTCCCCACAACTTATTATATGGCTTAAGATGAAACCCCTTCTTTAAAAAGGAGTTTCCGAAGTCAGGTCCTTACAGCGCTGGGTGCTCTAGCCCACTGTGTGAGCCCAGGAAGATGTGCTCAAGTTTAGACACATCACGCCATCTGTGTGTCTTCTACAACAAGCTGCTTTGACATGCCCTCCTATGGATGCTCAACATGCTTGGTTCACACCATGTCCAGGCATTTCTGCCCCCTTCTTCCCTTTCTTTTAGCAGGATTTTGCCAAGTAGCCCAGGCTGGCCTCTAACTTGGGTTCTTTATGCTTTAGCCTCCCACATGCCTAGCCCCTCTTCTTCCCTCCCTCCTTCCTAAAATATACTTGCTAGTGTTTATACTCTGTACACAATAAAAAACGCCACAAAGAAGAATGACTTAATTTGGATAAGTCCTTGATGCTTCACGACCTGTGGGAAATCCTTCTGGTGCGTATGACCTTACACTCCTCACTCCAGAGCAGGTTCAGTCACCCCAGCCCAGCTTCCGGTTGTCTGCTTCTCATCTACTCAGGTCCAAATGCCTGCCTTAAACCACTCCCTCCTGGTGACCACCTCCCTGAGGACACCTCGGAACAGCCTACCTGAGTCACCCTCCTGTCCCCACGCCCTGCACACACTGCGCAGCCCTATGCCCAGAAACCATTTCACTGTCACCATAACCTCTCAGAACTGTGTCTGCTCGCTTTAAATCGCCCATTAAACCTCCCCCTGAGGAACCTCACAGGGTAATTCTCAGGACTCAATAAAGGCATCAACCTACAGGTCATCTTCTGTCTTTGTCCTTGTGTTCCTGGCCTCTCTGTGTGGCCTGCAGGCCACCTGCCTATCCCCAGACCTATAAGTAATGACTTCTTTATTTCAAGCTTGTGTCTCCTAATCACTCAAAGGCCGAACTCTACCTAAGACCCTGAGGAAGTGGGTGGAGCTAACCCATGGCCACCTGGCTTCATACCCTCTGAGAAGAAAAGCCACTTTTCATGGCATGTCTTCGAAGTTCATGGGATCTGATGCCCTCTTCTGGCCTCTGTGGGTACTGCATATAGATGGTACACATACATGCATGCAGCTACAACACCCTTACACACAAAATGAAAAAAGACTTATAAAAGCATTAACAAAACTCTTCAGCTACAGGTGTAACAAGGCAGGACAGACTCTCACTGACAAAATGCTGGAAGTTCAAGCTAATGCAATAAGTCATGAATAAGAAAGAAAGAACTCAGGACTATCATCTTGCTGATGGCAAGACTGTCTAAGGAATCTACAGATAAACAACCTCTCCCAGAGCTAACAAGTGAAATTAACAAGGTCATAATATCCACATACAGTATTAATCATCATATATAATAATTACATTAAAAATACAATACCATTGCAAATCACTCAAAAAAGTCCCACGACTCAGGCATAAACCTAACAAAAACATATGCAGAATTTGTATGCTTGAAACTCCAAAATGCTACTGAAAAAATATGTAAATGAATTGTAAGTAACTCATGTTAATGACTTAGCGAATTTGACGTGGCAAACATGCCAATTCTCCCTAAACTGGTACACAGGCGTAAAGAAATTCCTGTCAAAAATTGCCTCAATCTCTTTTGTAGAAGTAGACAAGATTATTCCACAGGTAAAAAACTAATGCAAAACGAATGGCCCATGGCTACAAACAAAACACACGGGAAAAACCTGCAGAGTGCCGGGGAAGTCAGAGAGTTCCTAGATGTGACGCCCAAACACACAGGAGAATTCTTTAAGCCACTTGTCAAAGTGAATCACTGCTATAAGAAGAACAGTGTGAAGGGGACGAAGAGGCAGCCTGAAGTCACACTCCAGGCAGCCAACATGAAA